TAAAATGGTAGACATATAAAGACAATGAAGTTTATATTTATTTTGGCAGATTTAGTGAGTCTACGTAAAGTTGTACCAGGTTATGTATTAATATTGAGTAATAGAAAATTTATTACTCAATACATAACACATATTATATCACATTATCACACACTTTGCATAATATTACATTAATATGCATAGCAATTATCTGACATAACAAGTACAGACATCATTGTCTTTATCTGACCGCCATTTTTAAACCACAAGACATAAAAAATTATATTATTGTATATAATTAATCTCTAATAAATTGTCTTTCGTGTCATTTAATTTTTGTGAATTTTAATTTTTTTTAAAATAAACTAAAAAACAGAATTTTATCCGCAATCGATAATTAACTGTAATATTTTATAACCGATAATATTAATGAAAGGATTTTGAATGAATAATATACTTAAAAGAATAATATTAATAATAATGTTTAATGCCAAGTCGGGTAATTACCAGGATTCAATGCACAGTAAATTCCGTTTAATAATGATAAATGTGCTCCTATGATAAAAATGATTCTAAAAGATTTTTAACTCTTTTAATTTGACATTTTAAATTGTTAAGTTTAAATAATTTGTTAAAATAAGTTATCAAAAACTTAAGAATATGGAAGAACAGAATTTAAGATTTGTATTTATATTAAAAACTCATTTTTAGAAACATTATTTTAATAAAAATTACGTAACTTGTTTTTTAAAAATAAATAATAAAACAATGCTCTGTGTTATAAAATGTGTTATAAATTATATTATAACACATTTTTAGATTCAAACGTAAAATGTTCTAAAATGTTGATGGTAAAAGTTCCTTATAAGCGGTAAAGACTGTAAAGGTATTGGAAATAAAGTTCCAAAGAATTAGTGGAACAGAACTCGTTTGGCAGCACTTATTGGACTCTATTTGAAAACTTGTAAGAAATACATAACGAGAACCTCAAGACAGCGCCAGTGTTTGTATTCATTCATTTAAGTCATACATGTATATTATTCTGGGATTTAATATTAATATTGTGTCAATTAATTCTGTCAATCATTCAATTACTCGTCAAATATTATTAACAGAATTGTTGTATTTTTACACATTATTATGTTCTCACAATTAATTGTTTTTAAATATTTTACTTTCTATTTTATTTTTTTTATAAATTTACTTAAAGTTTATTTACTTATCTCTTGATATTTAAGAAATTAAATTTCGTTTCATTTAATATAAATTAACAAATATTGAACGTTAATGTATTTTATATGAATGAATTATTGAATTAATAAGACTAACTCAAATTCTTTCTCTACTAATGCTCCAAACCAAAATGTAAAAGGTGCAGGATTGTTACATTTTTAAGTATTTTAATCAATATTTGTTGATTACCGATATTTGCATAAAATTTTCCAATTGTGCTGAAGATTTAATTATATAAAACAACATTTAGTAAAATAAATAAAACAATGCATTGACTTTTTGTATCATTAATTTATTATCAAATTAACGCATGATTTTAATTAAATTAATTGCTATTAGAATACAATTATGGCTCAAAATAATTGAGTGGATGTTAATAAATATTGGTAACAGAGAAACAGAAAAATTGGTAAATTCTAATAAGTAAACGGAAATTAACATTAATTGATTGAAACACAATAAAATTCTTGCATAATATTGAATGTGCTTTTCATATGACAACTACACTAATGATCGGCGGATTAGTGTATTTGTGATCTGGAATTATAACTACAATTATAATAAGTAGTGAATTGACAAAAATAAAGTGTTTTATTTCCGCTTATATACAAATAAAAAAATAACCCAAATATTTGAGTCATTGATATATACAGTGAGACACAGATAACTGTTTTCTAATATCAATGGTTTTGTTGTGTATTTTTTGTGCTCGTCATCAGCTCTGAAAGACACACTTTTAACTCCAAGAGCTTCTGATCTCTTGTGTCTCATATGCACTGTCAGTATAAGTCGTGTATCACAAGTCGGTTGAGATTTTGTTATATATTTTTTGTTTTGAATGAAGAAACGTTTGATTTAAAAAACAATTGAAAATCATATCGTCGTCATTGTCTCACAGATTAGTCGATTCATTAAAGAATTAATTTTTTAAAATGTTTTTTTTCGACACAAACTCTATAACAAGAGAATTGAAGAAACAGTAGTAATAATAACAACAAGAGTTTAAGAGTTGGCTTATTATTAACAATAGAAAAGCGTTTGGCTTTTCGTCTAATTGTTTCGGTAAACGTTGGCTGATATCCAGTCTGAAGAACTGCTCACTCGATGATAAATACCCGGTTGGTATTGTTTGGCACATGAATAACCAGCCGATACTATACCCACGAGATACCAAACGCCAAAGTCATTCAACATTAGGGGTCCGCCGGAATCGCCCTAACATTTGTTCAAAACAATAAAAATACATTTTGTTAGTCAATTGAGAATACATTTTAGAAATGAACAAATTATTGAATATTGAGTATACCTGACAGGCGTCTCGACCCCCGAACTCATAGCCGGCGCACATCATCTCGTCGTATATCCTAATATTGATGCCTCTCTGTCGGTGCCAACCCTCGCATATCTCATTCTCAATGACGGGCACCGGAACGTGTTGCAGCACTTTTGGCCGCAGTTTTGACCCTGGTACATTCAAATGACAATCACATTTTATTAAACCCATTTTTCCATTTTTTAGTTTAGAATTACACTAAATTTAATATATATTAATTTTGTTAATCCACTATCGATTTGCATTACATTTTTTTTTCCACAACCGTTATGTTATATCAATGTTTGATATAATTGACTAATTCTGACATTTATTACTGCAAAGAAATATTCATGAATAATAATAATAATAATAATAATACTTGAGATTCTGATATACTCTAAAGAAATGATTATCAAAACATATCTATCCGTCAAAAAATGCAATTAATTTAAGTTTGAAAAAATATAAATCAAATTACAAACAAAAAACCAAATATTTGTTATCTTTTCAAAATCAGTCAAATATTTAAACAATAAACAAAATATTATTCAAAAGCTTATCTAAACTCTATCTTCACGTTTCTATTCATCAATAGTTATAATGATTGCATAAATGAATTGATATGAATGTTGTCTTTTAGACAATTTGAGAAATTTATTATACATGTAAACTAATGATTGCATGATGGTATGTATGCTGGTAATGGTACCATGACAAATATGACAAACAGTATAGCGTGCCTTCAAGTGTACAAATGTTTGCGTATGTCATGCATACTCGAGGAAGTGTGGCTTGATTTCTATTTACAGTATTTATCATCATTTATGATACTTTCGTTAATAGCATAAGTATTTAACAATTAGACAATCACTTTATCACATATGCAAATGTGTCATCCAATTACTCAAATATATTTCACTTTTGTTGTGTCATAAAGCAAAATAGGGAATCGAGGGAATCGGGTATTTGGGTATTTGGGTAACTGCAAACTGGTAAACGGGTATTTATGCGTACCTGCCTGGAGGGCCCCCCAACCGGCCACATAAGCCATTCTACCTAAAAAGCCGACATCTTTTTGGGGCAAACAAATAGGTCTGATGTTGTCCTTGTAATGGACGGGTCGGTCGAGTACAAGGACTGCCACATCATAACGATCTGCTTGTGGTGTAAAACGAAAGTTTGGGTGAAGTCTCACTTCGGATACAGTGAACACCTCATGAGGTAAGGACTCGATCTCTGAATGAAGGATATAATCTCCAAGAGTGACACGAATGCTGTTTGGGTTGTGCTGTGATCTGGCATTTGGAGCAATGCATTGATTATAGCGTAAAGCAATGTATGACCTTTGGTTGTGTTGTATGCAAACCTGGCCACACAGTGTCCCGCAGTCACCACATGCGCCGGTCCGACAAGCGCTCCGCCACATCGACTGCCCCCGACCTGAACAAAGGCCTACCATTTGTGCAATACATACATCTCATTATATACATGATAAAGACAATGGTAAAGAGGTGTCTGTGCCATACCTGCCACGGGAACTGTCCAAATGAGGCGTCGTTTCCTCCAACGATTCGACTGATTCTCGCCGCACTCTTTCCGCACTCTTTTCTCATTCATTATAATAGTTATCAATAGAAAAAAGAGACAAAAGATTAATTAAATTGAATGAATAGGAGGTGTGATATAAAGTGTTAATACGTGGGTCGTTGACGACTGGTCCCCAATACTGAGGCTGAATGTCTTGACTACTGGGAGTAACACAACATGTATGAAGTGGACCACACGAGGCACCCAACGAACCGCCCGAAACCCAACAGAATGCGAAAAACTGACATTTGGTTCCGCCGACACATCCCTGTTGGCGACGGCCAGAGCGCACGGCGGGCAGGAGGCGAACCACATTACCCAACGTTCGCGTCAATAAACCCGCCGAAGCTGTCGATTGCATTCAGAAATACAGACATAAGTTTAGTGTTAAGAAAAAAAGTGCTGCTAAAACGTAAGATTGCATCGATGTAATCGATGCGATGCTTACTATCCGGTGCAGTCCTATCGACACTATGATCTGTTTGGTTGAAGAATAGCTCATAAGTTAGAGGTTCTGGAAATGATTGAACACGAGTTGATAATAGGATGACCACTTGGATCAGGACTAAGGCATAAAGCATCCTCTTTGCATACCCCGCATGTATGCATCGGTGGCTCTGTATATATGTATCAGCAAAACGGTCAACACATTAGACAAACGGCTATTTGTAATGTTTAAAAATCTTTTAAAAAGCACTTGTAATCCAATTACACGTTAACCTATATTTAAAATTTTTGTATATTTAAAGATATAAATCAATAATATTGTCGATCACTGAATAGGTTAACGAAAGGACAGTAGAGAAAACATCACATATAAGAGTATAACACGTCTGGAGAGAGAAAAACAAGTCACTAATTAATCTCGTCTACAGTTGAAGACATTTTTTTAATCCAATCAAAAATTTAATAGAAGACAAAGTTTAGCACAAAAAAAATTAAAAACAAAAAAAAGTTGTATTTGAAGAAGAATTGGCAGGAATTGTAGTATTGTATGGAATGGTATATCCGGCTGACTGGGCATAGACTGGGTTCAAGCCTGTGCTTCGTCTTCCTGACTAGTCAAGGTTCTGGTGCACAACCAAACCATCACAGCCTCCAAACACAACTCAACTAACACTAACGCTCAACACTTGGATTCAGAGCCTGTTATGTAGTGCTATGTCCTGCACTTGGGATGACCCACAACCTGACGGCCTAGAAATCATATCAGGTATTCGTATCTAACATTGGATAATAGAGATCATAGAAGGCTGTGAAGGTTGGTAGGGCTGGTAAGGCTTCCCTAAATAAACTTGATTTAAATACTCTTTATATATAACTTACATAATAGTTATATTATATACACTTTTTATTATTAGACGCAAACTATTTGTACAACTTTTTCACTTAAGCAACACATAACTGACTGCAAAATATATTCGATGCATAAGAGATGGTTAACTACAAGCGAACTCACAAATTAGATCCACAAAAAAGAAATAAGCACAAACCAAACACACCAGCAAACAAAGCCCCTAGCTCCTATACACATATCTGAACATTATTATACAATAGCATATAATGCAGCAAAACTTATTATACACAGACACTTAAAAAAGCAGTAAGTTTTGTGCCGTTTTGTGTGCTTATATGCGCTTATATAATGTATTTACACATTTCATTTTTGCTTGTAATACTGTTAGGTAACTATACTATTATATATAGTATTGGTGGTGAGGTTTGTGCTGATTTTTCTGGTGAATCTCATTTTTCTCGGCTCTCAATGGTAGTCAAAAAATACATATATTTCTCAAAGGTTTTTTAAACTTACGTTTAGTTCAGTTATAGTTAGCGTATAGTCTGTGAGGTGTTTGGGGAGGAAAACGTGTTTCGGCTATTTGTGTCATATTATTTGTGTCAATTATTTGTGTCAAAAAATTATATAATAAATGTTTAAATTTTAATCATATTATTAGGGGATTTGTGTTTTAAAGTAATTATCGGCGAAAGAGATTTAGAAATTGTTTAGAAGTGTGTATTTTGGGCCTCGAGTTCAACAAAACGTATGAATTATTTTCTTTTTTCTTTTTGTTTTAATGATAAGAGGTTTTTGACACAAAAGGAGTCGCTTTTCAAACAATTGAATTGAATTGAATGCCAAATGATTGTAAGGCAGGCACACACACACTCTCGATTGAATGTTCTAGGTCAATATTAAAAAGTTATTACATGTTATTCACTTCACCACTCATTTACTCTTTGGAAAGTATTGTCCGACAAAATATAACATTTTTCATTTCATAATACCATCCATTCATTCAAACCAACCCCGAGTTTAAAGTGAAAATTCTTTAATACATTATCCATTCATATAAGAAATATTTAAGTGATTGACGTTTAATATTCAAAAAGTGTGCCAAAAATAGAAAATATATTTTCTTTTTTTAGTTTAAAAATTCAAATTTTAAGGCTTTAAAAGTTTGATTTCATGAAAGAAAAACTCTTTCAAATATCAATTAAGATTCCGATAATTGGAGTTCGCGTTTAAGGCATAAAATTAGTTTCAAAACTCTAAAAATGTATTGATTATCAATATATATGTATATTTAAACATAAGTTATATATTGACTGAAAGTGCAATCATTGAAAAGTGAACCAAAGAACTGGTAAAATATGTTTTAGAGTTTATTCAACGAAAAAATAATAAATGAGAGGGAAAAAGAAAATATGAAACATAATTTTCGTTTTAAAACAAAACTTGTAATTTAATGGTTGCGAGCATTCATTCAGTCATTAAATTTAATTTTTATTATAGGAATTATTTATTGATTAGCGATTTGAATGGCAATTATAGCTCAAACACCACAGTAATAGATAATGAGGTCATTGCGCACAAGTAGTCTCTGAAGGTGTGCTGTAATTATTACCAAAATCTCTCTTTTCTTTCCTAACTGTAATCCATTGGATGAGCCCATCGTTTGGCCACTATTTTCAATGTCATTATCCGCTCAAAAACAACTTAAACCTCTAAACTCTAGTTTCTATTTTTGATGTTTAGAAACCGGCAAATCCTGAATGAAATGAACAAAAAAAGTATTTATATAATTGAAAACAGGAATAGAAATTAGTTTTAGAAAATGTTTTAATTTGTTTTGATAACAAAAAAATGTTTTAATAAAACTGGCCTTAAATTTAATGCCAAAGCCATCCAAGTCTTGACGAATGGCATCGCATAACGAAAGCATTTCTTTGTTATTCTTTTGGATCTCATCCGAAATCAATTGAGGATTTGATGACATATTTTTGCTTTTTATAATTGAATTCAAAGCCAATGCCCTGATATCCGACCGGAATTTAATAAACGTTTTGATTACAAGCGATTCCTTAACACTCTGACCATCGTTTTTATTAGACGATTGTTTGTATAACAATCCCATACTATCTAACCATTTGTTGAGCACTTGTTTCGTTCGGATTAAATCCAAAAGTGAGAAATCATTTGTGGAATTGAATTGTTTGGCGAGAAGTAGAATAGCATTTAAACCCATTTCCAGATCCAAATCGTCTGCAATTCCATCTAAAATAAGTTTTTCTGTTTCATCGATAGCCTTAAAAAACTCGGATTGCTTTAAATGTTTGCGGTTTTCGATGCAATCATACGACAGGTTTTCCATTGAAAATTCATAGATTTTCAAATTCAAGTTTTCAGTGAAATCGAGAAGTTTTTTATCGATATTTTTCATTTCTTGCAACAGATTTTCATCGTATACCAGATCTGTTACAGTAAACACAAATGTCATACAAAATCTACATTTTAATTAATTTTCAAAAACTCAAATCTGGAGATAAAATGCTAATTAATTTACAAAAAGAGTTAAAACAAGGATTTAGATCTTATATAACAATCTATGATTCTTTTAATAAAAATTTTTCTCTTTTTATCTCAGTTTTCAAAATTTCTTTGAATTGTGTTTAAATATAAATGTATTGATTATATAATACAATATATTTGAAAGTTTCAAAAATAGATTTCAATTGTTTGTGAAATGAGTTTTGGTTCAAAAATAGCTTTAGATTTGGGTATAACAGAGAATGAGAGAGAGAGAGAGAGAGAGAGAGAGAGAGAGAGAGAGAGAGAGAGAGAGAGAGAGAGAGAGAGAGAGAGAGAGAGAGAGAGAGAGAGNGAGAGAGAGAGAGAGAGAGAGAGAGAGAGAGCTGATTAATTGTATAGGTTATAGTACTGTGTGGTGAATAATCTGAATGGATATAACATTTTCAATTGAATGTCAAACAGTGATTTCATTTACTAAACGCTTCATTGATTATCTAAATTGTAATTAATTCTCAGATTTTATTATAAATAGATAGCAAAACATACTTTGAATCCATTATTACAATTATACTTAACTATTTTTGTTTATTGTCTAACGATTTCAATGTTTGCCATTAAATAACGATTTAAAAATAAGTTAATAAACAACAAACACATAATTACCCGAACGATAGTGAAGTTTAATGCAGAATAATCTTAAAATATTTGGTGAATGGCTTTTCAAGAAATCCTTTATGAGAATAACATTTCCCAAAGATTTGCTCATTTTCTTCATTTGGATTCAAAAAATTAATTTTAATATTAATTCAATTTATTTAACATATTTCAAACATTTCAAGACTTTTTTATACCAATACTTACGGCTTTTTTAGTGCATCTATATATCAATTGATTGACATGTCTATCAATTTTAATCATATATTATGATACTTAAGGCTTCATTAAATTTGGGTTAAATTAAAGTTATTTTGCTTTAAATATTTCCAATAAAATAGCTCATCAAACGATTCAATACTTAAAAAATTAATCAATTTTATATTAAAGAAAATTTTAACATTTTTTCTGTAGTTTATAGCATAAAGTTAATCAAACTATTGAATGAATTCAATTAAACTACTTTTTTGGTAGTAAATCACACGATGTAATGTACTGTACTGTATATACTGTATAGCAATGCAATTAATTGTAAGAATTGGTAAAAAAAAGCATTAAAATATAATTTTAGTAAATTTTATTCAAAACAAATTATTATTTGAATAATACCTCGGATTTAAGGTTAAGATGACCCGAATGGAGCCAAATCCTCACCCAATCATACAATGCATTCATGGGTTGATCCGGCGTTTGATAAAATGCATGACAACAACAGGACTCGCAGTGATGGTGAGGAAAACGGAGATCACTTCCACCAAAATGGACATCAATTTGATGGCCAAACACTTTATGAGCCAAAGCGCTACACTCTATGTGCCAACCTATCCGTCCGATCATCTCATAAGTTAAACATCACATAAGAAACCGAATGATATAAGACCTGGTCGTCCGGCAATGACAATGCCATCGGTGGTCACCAAATCCCACTTCGGTTCTCCCGGTTTGGCGGCCTTCCAGAGGGCAAAGTCTTTGGGCGACCGTTTGTCCGACACTTTGTCCGCATTAAAGGATCCGTCGGTTCCGATGGTATGAGTGATATTGAATGCATCGACAAAACGGTTGAAATCAAAGTTGATGTCATTGTTTGCGTTGATATAAGCGAACCCTTTGTCCCTAATTGTGTTGATGTAATCCATGATTGTCTTCATGTGATCCGTTACTCGAAGATAACAGTCGGCGTCCAAAACATTCAACGCTTTCATATCATCGATGAATGAGTTGTAGTAATGATTAGACACTTTGCGGTAATTACTGTCCGTTTCGATGGCTTTGACTATGATTTTGTCGTCAATATCTGTGACATTCATTGCCATCAATACAGATATGTTGTGGTAATGGCGAAGAGCTCTGCGGATCAGATCCGCGCGGATGTAAGTGATGGCGTGTCCCAAATGGCTGTCTTCGTATACAGTGGGTCCGCAACAATACATTGTCACCAAATGCTGATCCAAAGTGTCGGCCCTTTCGGTCACAATCAACGGCTCTTTAGTTTTGGTGAAACTGTTTTCTAACAAAACTTTTCTCTCATTTCTTGCATTCAATTCATTATTGTTTTGCACTTTTGTTTCACTTAATCTCCCGGTTTGGCGGCCTTCCAGAGGGCAAAGTCTTTGGGCGACCGTTTGTCCGACACTTTGTCCGCATTAAAGGATCCGTCGGTTCCGATGGTATGAGTGATATTGAATGCATCGACAAAACGGTTGAAATCAAAGTTGATGTCATTGTTTGCGTTGATATAAGCGAACCCTTTGTCCCTAATTGTGTTGATGTAATCCATGATTGTCTTCAAGTGATCCGTTACTCGAAGATAACAGTCGGCGTCCAAAACATTCAACGCTTTCATATCATCGATGAATGAGTTGTAGTAATGATTAGACACTTTGCGGTAATTACTGTCCGTTTCGATGGCTTTGGCAATGATTTTGTCGTCAATATCTGTGACATTCATTGCCATCAATACAGAGATGTTGTGGTAATGGCGAAGAGCTCTGCGGATCAGATCGGCGCGGATGTAAGTGATGGCGTGTCCCAAATGGCTGTCTTCGTATACAGTGGGTCCGCAACAATACATTGTCACCAAATGCTGGTCCAAAGTGTCGGCCCTTTCGGTCACAATCAACGGCTCTTTAGTTTTGGTGAAACTGTTTTCTAACAAAACTTTTCTCTCATTTCTTGCATTCAATTCATTATTGTTTTGCACTTTTGTTTCACTTATTTTTCGCCGCATTTTGTATAAAGTATTGAGTTTTGGACGAAATATATATCTATTGAATGCAACTCTTAATGACATCTCATTCGCGGCAATCAATCGACAGTTTATTTAACTGTCATTTAAATAGCGATTGAATTGCAATCAAAACACAGACACAAAAATGTAAATACAAGTCATGTGTATATCACGTGATGTGTTGTAATGTTGGGCAACAATAAGCGCCAAATTTAAATATANAATGACATCTCATTCGCGGCAATCAATCGACAGTTTATTTAACTGTCATTTAAATAGCGATTGAATTGCAATCAAAACACAGACACAAAAATGTAAATACAAGTCATGTGTATATCACGTGATGTGTTGTAATGTTGGGCAACAATAAGCGCCAAATTTAAATATAGATTTCGCAGGATTTTCATAGTGTTATATAACTATCACGTGACGTACGTGGCCTTCAATACAGCAATATGATTGGCTGTGAGATTAGGTGTGACATGTATACATGTCTCACAGCCAATCATACTGTTTCGGTCGGGAGGGTATATAAAATAGTCGCCGTCTGTTGGGATTTTTATAAAATAAAATTTGCACTGAAATGTNACTGTTTCGGTCGGGAGGGTATATAAAATAGTCGCCGTCTGTTGGGATTTTTATAAAATAAAATTTGCACTGAAATGTATTGGAGACCATAAAGTGCCATAAAGTACGCCAAAAAGTGTGTTTTTTTGGAACCCTTTTGTTAGTTATATAACACTACGAAATTCCTGCGGAGGCTTTATAATGTATTGTATTGTTGTTTAATTGATTCAATTTTGAGTGCTTTTCGTTAAAATTAAATTATAAATACCGCTAATAATGAGTGTATTATATGTGGTTTGAGTGAACACTTCTGGTGTCCAAATTGTGTCAAGCATTCAAGTGTTGACTCAATTATTTTATTATTCATCACTTTTAACTCATTTACAATTCGGTATTTTATTTTTATAAATAACTTATTGCATTACAATTACAAGCACTTTCTAACTAAAGTTAAAATTGAAAATCATAATAAATTCCTATTTATTTATATAATACATACAAACTGTGAAATTAACAAATTTATGTCACAGAATATATGATACAACAGAATATAAATGAGACAAATGTCAGCAACTTTTTTAAAAAACACTTATACTTTTTATTTAAAGATTTTATAGTGCTTTCAGAGCTATACTCTGTTAATAAATAGATTTATAAATTATTATTTATACAAAATATATATAATATTATATTTAAAAAACTACCATTAAAACCAATTTCTGTATTATATATTTAAAAACTTATGATTAAACAAAAATGCATTGACTCCGGGCTTCGTGTAGTGCTGTACTCCACGTCTAGGAACTGGTAATAAAATATTTCTTTTCTTCGTGCGAGTGTTTGACATAATTGATTTGATGGCATATATTATTAGCCGTCTCTTCGTTATCACATAAATATTTGGGACTCATTGTAATCGTTTGCGCGATTTCAGTGAATTTGGTATTACTTCTAATGGCGACCACATAATAGTCGGTAGAATTGGTGATAAAACCGGATTTATTGCTCCAAACGATACACGTGTCGAGTGTATCGAATTCAATGGTTGACTCAATCTTATGTTCAATCGATTCGCCGAATCTTATTGTCTGAATAAATATTATCCTTTGGTTTGTTATGAAAACTGAATGTAAATTTGCAATCAGTTCTTGCTTTGAAACAAATATCTCTGACTCTTCCCTGTCGTTGATTAGACCGCAATTGTAGAAGAATTCCTGTCCTTCCGCTTGATTTCTCTCGTATTTAAGTATTAAACCGTTTATTGAATTAACTCTCGGCGGACGACGCCTTCCCATAACATAATTATGATTCGTCGATACCTTTCGTGTCGTCTCCCGCACAGCGCTGGCGGCGCCCGAAGCGAAGTCCAACATTCCGACCGCCGGTTTAGTTATGGTTCCGACCAATCCTTTGCCTAAACCAAAGAATATTCCGGACACACCCTCTTTGACAGCGCCCTCATAGGTCTGAGTGATAATACTGGTGACGCCTCCCAGAAGACCAACGCCCAGACCCTTAAAACCGGTAGATAAATGACTATTGCTTTCCTGTTTAATCCGTTTGCGCATCTCTTGATGCCTTTGATCCATAGTTACGACACCCAAACTGTCCGATAGAATGGACGTGACTTTAGCGGTGGAGTCGGATATGCCGTGAGCCACGTTCATTATAAGACCGCCAAAGTTACCGTCATGTATGAGCTCATTGAGGCCATCGGTCACGTCGTTCATGAAACCCAATGGATTGCCTAAGAAGTCAACGGATCCCAAGATCTTCGCCGCCTGACTCTTAAGCTCCGCTCTATAATGACTGTAAATGGAGTCAAATAAAAAGTTTTTGGTCATCAATGAGTAGACTTTCTTGAATGGCGACAATTGAACGTTCGCTTCTTCGAAACGAATCAATTTAATGCCTAATTTCTTCTTCAGTTTGTTATAGATTGCGGGCAAATGACTGGTTGTGAAGACACTGAGTTTCACTTGAGATAACTGTATCAGAAATATAGTGAAGTAATAGCGCGAAGATTTGGCCAAAACCGAAGAGAAGGCCCGATTGGCGGCTGTGTTCTCGTGGTTCTGGATTTGATCCATTTCGCCCACCAATGTATCAAATTTTAAGAATTCTAAGATCTTGAGCAGCAGAATCTCTTCCAAATTGAATATCATATCTTTGATGGAAATTTGAAAATTCTTGGAAATCATAAAATTAATACAGTATTAGTTTAATAACTGGTTATCATTGCAATCATCAATACCTTAAAAACATTTGCCTCAACGTTAGACACAAACTGTTTTTGAGTTGACAAAGAAATGGCTGGCAATTGAACGCTATTGATGGCAGGGTTTACTTGAAGAATCACCGCTTTCTCGGCTCCTCTCATTTGATTATCGACCTGTTTGTACACATCATTTAAATAGTATTACATTTACAACTTTTCAATTAATTATGAATCAATACCTGAATGTTTTGAATCGATGTATTGAAATCACATTCGTCTGAATTGACATTAAAGTCGAATATAGAGTTTTGAAAGTAAACGTGAATTAACTCTTCGTTTAAGTGATTGATTACAGAGAGACCGATCTCTTCGACCGTAAATAAAAAGGTTAATTCAATGTTTCGAAGAAATCCTTTGCGTTCGTATTCCTTGTCTTCAATCTTAAGCTGAGAATTACTTGTCGTCGAAATTCTGTCCCTATTCTTGACGTCATTAATCTTCAATACACGGGTCGGCCCGTCAGCCAACACAGAGACCGACAGAACACCCGAACCTTTTCTCATTCTCCTACAACTGATTGACTGCTCTATTGGAGTCATATTAGCTACTAATGGATCCGTACGGTTCAAACCCAACACAACCTTCTCTCCAATTCGTAGACCTTTTATACCATCCCTCGCCTGAACGCATAGATTGGGATATTGACAGCACAGGCGACCGTCGGGTGTGAAAGTCCACGTCTGTGTCAGAGCTCGTTTTGGGTCAATTTGTCGCAGCATTAAAGGAGTGAATTCTCCCGGAATTGCACACATGTTGGCGATGTCTAATACCAGAGAGTTTTTGTTGGTTTTATGAAACGCTAATCTTTTTGAATCGTTTGGATCAACCGGTGGTGAAGAGCCTTCATGTATGATCCTCTTAGAGCTGTCCACTCGCCATAACTGTGATCTCTTTCCCCTTTCTTTTGGCGCCAAAACTATTAAATTTGTGCCTTCGATCACATCCAATACTAACTGCCTTTTAATGCCGTCCCTCACAAACTGGGAGCTGACCGTCACTTTCTCGTCGTCTGACTCTTCGTCGCCAAACGTGGCGTTAAAAGCGATATAAATAAAGTTCTCATAAGTCAAGTGATCGCCGGGCGCTAAACTCATCATATCGTACGTCGAAACAGAACCTCCCGGCGCTCTCACAGTGATGTGAGGCTTCAAAGTGGACTCATCCCAAGCGTACGACTGCTGTGTATTGGGTCTCATGAGTGTCTTCATATGCGCGTGAGTGGTGTTGGTCTGAAAGAAGTCAATGGAAACGTGTGACAGGTTTTCAATACGTATTGGCGGCGGAAGATTGTTGGCGTCCGTCAACACTACGAAGAATGTGGCGCTCTGTAGGAGAATCTCAACGCGAATGAAATGTGACTTTCGGTTCTCATCGCGAATATTCAGATGGAATGAAGTCGAGGGCTCGACAGCGAAACCTCCCGACCAGAAACAGTTGGAAAGGGTTGCGATTCGTACGCATAGTAGACGGTCCCTATCGGTTCGCGGCCAATGAAACGCTATATTAGATTTGGCCAAAATGCTGATGCGTTGGTCGGGCTCTTTCGATTGGCGACAAGTCATGCACTTTTGGGCCAATTCTAACCGATAAGAACTCAAATTCTCGATCTGATAGCGCGGTGTTATCGTCACAATACGTGTGTCGCGATACCGATCGCTACCATTCCTTATGTCAATTCCAAACTCAAACACTTTATCCGCTTTTTGGGACTCATTTTGTGCGACTCTTAAACTCCTAAAACATATTCCCTTTTCCAGGAAGAAAGGTGTCGACCAACGAGTGTTCACTCCTTTCGACTTTCCGAGCCGTAGTGAACACATGTGCGAAGAGTCGGGTTCTGAGAAGGAGAACAATAGGGGAGAAATGCTTCGCGCGATCTCGTGTTCCGGCAATTGTCCCGAAGATTCTGAAGCGCCCTCTTGTCGAACAATTATTGGAAGTCCTGTTTTGTTGATGAATATATAGGGAGAGTATATATTGATGACAAGCGCTGAGGTCGAGCCGTTCACCATTGAGACCAATACGTGTAGAACAAGCAAACGGTTGTAATTGTCAAACAAATCCAAATGTGTTACGTAATCACGAGTGGCGCCCGGAGTTATGATTAAAGGCTTGCATTTGGGATAATTCTCGATCGAGAATTCGATGGTAAACGAGTCCAACGGATTCACGTAATGAATGGACACGTCTTCGCCTGATTTGATGGTTCCGATGACTGATGTGCCCGATATGTAAAACCTGAGTTCATATGGCAATAGATTTGCGAGTTGTAGGGGCGGCACAAGAGTGATAGTGTGCGCCGGTTGTGCTTTGTATGACTGCAAACCCAAACCTTGCGGTGAGATATCCAACGGAAATCTGTTTCTCTCGACTAAAACACAGTATCGATAGGAAGAAGCGGTCGAATAGGACGAGTGCTGATGATTGCGAGTCACTGTAATAGGAGTGCAAACCTGTAATTCACTGCTCGTTTCACTACATCGGCGCACGTGTTCCCAATTGAGAGGAGTGGCGCACGTACTGACCCCCACATCGCACGGACGCACCTGTACTTTGTGTCGCACCAGACGTAAGGGCACCGGAATTGTTGCGTTTGAGTTTATATACAAACTTTCTGTCGTGTTTTGAAATTTGAGTTCAATTGCATTCGACGTTTTGTTTGAGATAAGAAGAGCCGAACGAATGGTAACTAATTTACGCGATTTTGGCTCCAAATCTATTGAGAAAACAATTCTTGCCGTTTGATTAATAAACACTTGAGACATGGCCTCTCGGAAATAGATGCCAACTCTGTTGATGGTTACGGGAAATACGGCTTTCCAGCCCTCGACGACCACAACTATTTTGTGGGCCTTTTCCACGTGTGAGTCGCTGTGTCTCGTTTTGGTCAGAATCTTAGAAATTAAATCAAAACTAAAAGGAATCGTTTCGTTCGGTTCGACACAAATCCAATTGATTTCCGAATCAATTGAATCGGAGTTATCGCAAGAGTTTGTCATTTTCTGGTCGTAAATAGTGTTGGACTGATGCGAGTCTTTGATTAAATGAAACTTGAGTCGACATCCCGTCTCATTCTTGATGGCGTAGGGAATGAATGGCGTTCTGTGACGGAATGTCCTCTTCGTGGGCGACATATTCACAAAATTCTTGATGTCTTGAATCCAGGATTGGCTCACGTTTACAATAAGTTCGGCAAAATTATTGGTTATATTAATATTAAACATATTCTTGACATCAAAATGAAAGGAAATCTTCTTTTTGTGCGAATCCAATGTCTTTATATGAATGGGCCGTTCGATGCAATTCCATGTCAACTGGAATTTGCATTTCTCGATGAATGGCTCCCAACCCGAGAGCGCTCTATTGAAGTAATCACAGGAAAATGTCATTTCAGAGAATCCCTCCAAAATGGGTTCAGTGTTGTGTTGCATAAGTCGAAAGTCACTGGTGTTTAGTTCCAGAAGCGGAACATCGGTTTCATTGCAATCATCGATCAAACAAAGTGTTCCGTTTTGTATCCGCACTTCGATTATGGAAAAACTCGAGTAAAGCGATTGGTTTTGAGAACGCGTTCTGACGAGACTGTTATTGTTAACATTTTCACCGCCTTTTTCCCACTTATATTTGGCATTTCGAGTCAACCAAATGGCAGATTCACTGATATCTCCACCGCATATACCCAGTGCTCGAACACAGTCTTCGTGAACAAATCCCAACGCTTCCAGTTGTCTAACACTCGACGACAACGCGTACACATCTGGCGAACGACTATTAGATTTCTCACCCGTAGTTTCATTGTATGGATTATATGATATCGAGTTAATAATGTGCCAAAACATAAGCATATCGTTATAGGAGAGACGGAAATTGATGTTTGGTATGTCAAGCGTTAGAACCAATTCTTTGTGTGTGTTGTGAAACTTTGATGCATTCACTGAGAATTTGGTGGCATTCAAGTCGGCAACAGATGTGACGGCATTCAAACCCGACTCGTCCACAGACTTGTCAGTCTTCGGTGCGATGTCTTTATTTTCGACACTGATTTCGATAATAGTTTCCTGTAATATAGATATACCGAAAGGTTTGCACGAATAGAGCTCTTCCACATTCAAACTCATCAAATGATTGCCTTTTTTAATATTCTTCGAACAGTCGAGAGAATAGAGACTCAGGTCACGAATCTCGGCGGATATCACGTGATTTTTATTACCATTCTTTAGGTGTCGATAATCAGAACAGATGTGGTTTTTGAGTGATATGTGCCCCAAATGGCCGACCATTACTTCATAACTTGATGGACATGTGGGCAGTATTATGACTGGAGTTTGCAAATACACGTTCAGTCGGAAGTCCTCAATGAAAGCCGACGAAACTCTTGACCGAAGGGTCGAAACAGATTTAGTCTTCGTTACGATTCCTAAGGCGACTTCAGTGGCCGCGGCCTTCACTCTCTCCGAGAAGACAGTCATATATTTTTTGATGTTTTGCAAACAGAGGGCCAACTCGTAGACCAATCGATTGGAGTGGACGTAACAAAGAGATGCCATTTCGACGTTTACTTTCAGTATATTTTCACCAAAAAGTCGACGAATCGAAAAGAAGAGCGCCTTTTCTTCATCTAAGCTCTCATTTATAGTTAATTTAAAGGCTTTCTGTTCTCTAACGGAATCATTGAGTGATATCTGGCGACCAATACTAACGACACGCTTGTGTTTGTTATTAGTCTGATCTGTGACGAGGTCTATGACCTGTAAGCCGTCGAGTTGTCCATCAATTCCCAACTCGTTTGAAGCGATTTTGATTTTGATTTGACAGCCATTGAGAGAAGCGGTCGCCAGCTTTGAGGCGTCGTTTTCAGCAATGATAGCACTTTTAGTCCTCAATAGAACAAGATTTAGATAATGGCACTCAAAAAGTAGATTCATTTGAATACTGGTCTCTTCGGCACTTGGAATAGACTTTTGTGTCCGAAACACGAGATCAGTACAAGTGTTGGATTCATAGTCACACAGATTTGAATTACAGATTTCGACACCGATTTTGACGTTTGAAAACTCAAATTCCATTAAATTATTCATCAATTTCTCGGAAGCAAATGTAGGCGAAGAAGGATTGTCTGAAAATGTCATTAAAGCAAACGAGGCGTTGGTTATTGAAAAGTTCAATTGACCGAAAACGGCATCTCTGGTCACAAATATATCGTCAATACTCGAGAAGTTGGTCACCGAGTTATGAGTCGCGACATCCGTTACACTCAAACCGTTCACTTTATCACTGATGTCGGGCTCGGCATCACTACTACTGGTCTCACTTTTATCATTTGGTATATTATACCAATTGGGAAACCAATAGTTGAGCGATAAATAATGTTCACTCGATGTCTGAATGTCACTGTTTTGTTCACTGATATCACATTTGGAAAACACTATTTCACGCAAACAACAAATCTCTTCAAACGAGAGCTCGTATTCAATCCTTTCCTTAACTAATCTCATATCTCGAGTCAGACTTTCGGGATGTAAGAGATGAATGCAATACAACTCACAATACTTGACAATATCTCGCGATCTATTAAGAATGAAAGTCCAGTCCCGACGCCTCCGCCTCTCCCTATAGGCTCGCATATTGGCGTCGATCGCAAACTTCCACCAGAGCTTTGAATTGCCGATCGGCGACACATTTGGCCGCCATTTCCTATACTTCCAAACAGTGTTGGCTCTGTTGAAGGCAATACTCCACTCCATAATATGTTTGTACTGAATGGCAGTGAGAAGGACTGGCACCTGATCCAACTGCAGGTCAATCACAGTTCGTGGCACTGCTCGACACGTTAACGGCTTCTCAGAACAGTTGCGTTTGAGAAAAGCCTTACCGCTTACGGGCGCCAGAATGTACTCGTGATCCACAGGGGCTCCGTTCATATCACACCCGCTGTCCAAATGCTGACGCATTTTAGTCACCATTTCCTGCAAATCCAAATGACTGAAAAGTTGTGTATTTGTGTCCCAATAGACGCTAAAGCCTTCGAGTTCTAACAGTTTTCTCATGTATTCCGAGTTATCTCGTGTCACATACTTCGGCACCCAATTCTCATCCGTCGAGTGCGCCGACAGATTCTTAATGATAATTCCGGCCGCAAATGGAATGCCGGCTATTGTCGAGCTGTCCTCATATCGGATGTGAACGGATCTGATCTTCAACTGAACGTTTTCAATGATATTACTCACAAAATTGGAGCCATAGTTACGCCACGAGAGGTAAGACGAGGCGTAATATGATTGCGACTCCTTCTCAGTCGACTCGTGTATTGCTTTCCAACGCGACTCTATTGAATCCAATTGACTGATCTTCAGGTCCTGTTCGCTCTTCGCCTCTTCTTCTTCGTTATACTGTTTGACACAATTATATTCATTTTATACTCATTTTGATAGCGCTAACAAAATACAGACACTAAAGTCAGTGATGGGTCGACCAATTAAATACAGCTCATCGATAGATATAACCCACGGCTCACTCTTCAGTCGATAGACAGGGATCTTAAGACTGATTTTGCCGATAAATCCTAAAAAACAATACAAATAAATTGACGCTCACATCAAATATCTTCATCAATATATTGATAATAATAGTGACAAACCATTGATTATCTCTAAAGGAAGACCGAGATGTTTGAGGGCATCCTTCCTGAGCGGGAGGCCATCCAATTCCACTTCACCTAAAATGTGACCACAATTTAGTTTGACATCAAATCATTGACGACAACAACAACTAGTGATACCATTATGTAATGCGATGGACAGCTGATCCGTATTGACGTTACCGAAGTATTCGCCGATATATGAGTTCAATACCCACGCGACCAGTGATGACAACATCGCCCACAACGACAATCAACGGCCGGTCGGACACCGATTGGCCAAATGGTCACGAGTTTAGCTGATTGTCAGGTTTGTTGTCAACACAATCGATGACTCATTTGTTAAGCGATTACTCGACGAATGTTTGGATGAGTTGTTGAGTGTCTGTGGAAGTGATGCAGTGATGATGTGATCGCGTGTTGTATTCAATGTGTGTTTGCAGTGAATGTTAAACGCATTTAAGGCTAAAGTGTTGACTCAATCACACATTCAATCGTTCACTCATTCAATGCAATCGTATTTGTGATGCAATGCCAGAGAAGTCATACAAAAGTCATGGAAAA